CCCTCTCTCCCTCCCTCTCTCCCTCCACCGTGCGCGAGCGAGTGGCGAACCAAGCTCACCCTTCCCTCTCCAGAGTCCAGAAGCAGCGTAACCAGTGAAACAGAAAAACCAAAATTATCATCTGGAATCCGCGCTGTCACAGAAGTCGACAATTCCGCGGAGGAAAAAAATAGACCTCAGGTTTGTGTTCTTCTTCCTCAATGTTCCAGGATCTGGACAAAAAAGGATGTATCTTACTGACTTGTACTTTATAATACACAAGTCTAGTATTGAAAATCGTGCATTCTTTATGAGATAGAAATTCCCGTTCGCCAAGGCACGCACTGTTTGACTCTATTTGGAACCAAACAAAGAGCATTGTTGTAAAGAGTAGCTGTTTGTCGCACGCGTAGAGGACCAAAGCAAGACTAATGTGTTCACCCTTCGTATGTGCTCGTATAGTTACGTTGCGCACCAGAGCTGTGCTAGAAAGCAAGGAGCAAAAGGTCAGGACAGTGCCCAGAAAAGCAGGATCAAGATTGTAATCCTCAAGTCTACGCTCTTCCTGAAAAAAGGAAGACGAAGCGGTAATGAAGTGTGGGTGTTTAGCAATCAAATTAAGCCATCACTTTGATAGATAGATAGATAGATAGATAGATAGATAGATAGATAGCATTTGTATAGCGCAAACTCCCGCTCAACAGCAGGCCCTATGCGCTTCACAATCTATACTATTACCCCAGCAGACCCGAGAGCATTCTGAAACAACATCAACTTCCTGGGAAGCGTACAGTGCAAGCAGCCATTTATAGGCATTAAAACACTAACATACTGTGAAAATCTTGCACTGTCTATGGCCGGGTACCCATTCCCACCTGGGTGAAGTGAGGAAAATTCGTGTAAAGTGCCTTTCCCAACCCACGAACCCACAACCCCGCAACCTCACGACTACGAGTCCAGTAGCCTAACCACTAGGCCACCGACGCCCCAACCTCACGATTACGAGTCCAGTAGCCTAACCACTAGGCCACCGACGCCCCAACCTCACGACTACGAGTCCAGTAGCCTAACCACTAGGCCACCGACGCCCCAACCTCACGATTACGAGCCCGGTAACCTAACCACTAGGCAACAGACGCCACGATGAAAATTTGTCTCAGGAACCTTCTAAGATGGCGATGGTCTTCTTCGAACGAGTTTCTTTTCTTCATCATCGCAATCGCAACTCTCTCTTTGTCTTTGATGGCTCTAGGGATAATGACAATCCCGAATATTGACCATCAGATGACTTTTGGATCTACGAATCCTTTCCTTTCCAAGAATGATCATACTTCTGTGGAGGGCGACCGAAGCGATTCGCGAGCAGAAAGTCTTAAGGTGGCTTCACACTCGCCGTGTCGTGAGAGGTCGGCACCTAGGAGTGGAGAAGACAGACGCGATTTCCAGGTGAGAAGAAAAGGCGAATTTTATTGAATTTTTATTGTTAAGCTGCAAGCGCATTGATTCCGTGTTTCAACAAATACACACATGCATAAACATACACACATACACACACATACATACGCACACACACATACACACACATACATACATACACACACACATACATTCACACACACACAAACACACACACACATACACACACACACACACACACGCCTGTGCAAGCGCCATTCACATAATATCCACAAAAACACACACACATATAGGCACACACACACACACACACACATATACACACACACAAATCCACACACACACACACACACACACACACACACATACACACACACACATACATACATACACACACATTCTGTCCCACACATCCTCTCGTCCAAACACATACACATTACCATAAATTATTATGTTCCCACTCGGCCACATGGTACATAATTATGGTGTGAAGGAACAATGTGTACCGATAAGCTAGTTACATGTATGTCAGTTACAAGATCAGTATTCGGATATTGCTCATATTCATCTTAACTGTGGTGTAAACTTGAAACGATTTGTCGCAGTCACCACCACCACCACCACCACCACCACCATCATCATCATCATCATCATCATCATCATCATCATCATTATCATCATCCATCCTCCATCCTATTACCCCATACCCACCTCATCCATCCCTTTTCTCACCCCCATTTCATCCCATTACCCCATCCTCATCTTAATCCATCCTCCATCCTATTACCCCATACCCACCTTCATCCACCCCATCATCATCATCATCATCATCATCATCATCATCATCATCATCACCATCCTTGCCTTTGATCATTTACCCTGTCGTCCATTCCCACTCCACCCCAAACCCTACATCCATCAATCACTCCCTATCCCCACCACCTGCATTTTTCATCCCCATCCAC